GATTGGACATAAAGGGTGTGATCTAATACTAACAGCCTGCGTGGGGCAGCTCAGCTCGGCCTGTCTTAATGCTTCTTGGCTTCTCTGTGCAACACTCCTTTCTCCTGGGTATGGGGCAGGACCCTCTGTGGAGTGAGGGTCTTAGGACCCACAGTCAGATTAGAGCCCTGCCCTGGGGAAGAGAGAGGAGGGCAGCATATCCAAGAGAGAGATTGTTTCCTGAGGCTTGTTTCTGAGGCCTAAAGTGCCCCGACATTATAACAAGAGACCATAACAGGCGCTGTGGGAGTTATGAGCCAGGAACTGTGGACAAAAACCTATATATAATATCACAGATCACATTCTGAACTTCCAAATCATATCGATTTGGGGGGACACTCTTTAACCCACCATAAGTCTCTGTAGACCTCAATTTCCCTATCTGTAAAATGGGGAAAATAAAGTGCCCATCTGGCAAAGGTGCGGTAGGATCAGAGGTGCAACGAGGAAAGGGCCCAGCAAGCTGAAGTGCTGCGCATCGGCGAGCTGTTTTTACTCATGAATCTTCTGCGACTTTGCACTGGATCCACCTAGCCATGCGGTCGCCGCCGTCCACGCACTCAGCGCTGATTACTACGTGCTGTGGATCCCGCAGAGAGGAAGGCAGAGGAGTCGTGGCAGCAGCTGGCCTGCAGAGTGGGATGGGGTGCAGGGGGGCCCCAGGAGGAGGTGACGTGCGGTTGGGGTCTGAAGAAGAGTGCTTCAGGCCATGGCAATAGCCTGTGCAAAGTCCCAGAGTCCTGGTGGGGGCAAGAGGAAAGGGCAGGCGCCAGCAAGGCACAGGGGGCTTTGAGGGGCTTTTCTTGTGGGAGGGACATGCTCTGATTTGCATGCTGAGCGCTGTAGTAGGGAAATAGCGGAGGGGCTGGGACCTGTGACTCGGAGTCCCCAGGTGAGGGGTGGCCCGTGGGGACAGGGGGGATCAAGTGTGGCCAGGAGTGACGTGTAGAGGCAGGAACAGCTGGACAGGACCAGTCAGGTTGTAGGGGCGGCCGCCCGGGGCTAGACTCTGGCTACCGTGGCGGTTGGAGGTTTGGGAGGGCAGCTGCTTGGCTCAGGTTTGAGCATGTTCCCCTGGCACGTCGGAGCCATCAGCAGTGGGGCTCAGACTCAGGCTCCTGGCTGAGAGAGTCATCCTGAGCCCAGCATCTGAGAGGCGAAGGAGGCCAAGGAGGTGCCACTAAGAGGTTGGGGGATCCTGAGAGCGCAGGTGAGAGCTGAGCAGGGTGTGTGTGGAAGGCGTTGGGCAGTTTTGGCATCAGTGAAGTCACAGGGGTTGCGTGTGGACAGGTGGGCACAGGTGTGGAGACAGAAGTGGGCTGGCTCTCCCGGAGCCCAGGCCACGTGATAGGGTGGGGGCTGGCGCATGGACAAGATTCAGCCTTCCTCCCCCACCCCCTGGAGCTCCCAGACGCAGATAATTACCAGGTGATGTGATAAGTGCCACCTGTAGAGGGTGCCACAGGGAGGACAGGGTGGTCAGGAAGGGGGAGGGGGGGCCCTTTGGGCCTCTGCTCTGAGCTGTTCATCAGGCGGGGACAGAGGCAGCTGCAGGCCTGGGTGTCGGAGCCCGGCCAGACGCTGGGAGGCCCTGCAGACAGTGGTGCTCCCTGCAATCTGCGCGCAGCCATCTTGGTGAATCTGCCGGACAACCGTCTGGTCATTCCTGCCCTTCAGGTAGGGAACTGAGGCCAAGAAGGGGAAGGCCACCCACATCCCCTGCCACAAGTGGCTGGGGTTGAGTTTGAACTACCCAGGGACTCCAGGGCCTGCGCCCACACCATCCTGCCTGTGAGTTTGGAAGTTGGACTTGGTCCACCAGGTGCCAGGCCGGCCCTGCTGCTGGATGCTGCCAGGCGTGAACGAGCTGGCAATTCTGGAGGCCCACACTCTTGGCCTTGCTCCAGCCTCTGTCCTCACATCAAAGGTGGGTGCTGGAATAGCAAATGCTGCCAATGGCACCCAAGGGTGTTGGCCAGGCCGCGGGGACGTGGGAGCTCTGTCCATGCCCACAGGTGGCCTGTGCTTACCTCCCCACCACCCCTGGGTGACACCAGCCCCTTCGCTGAGCTGAGCTCTTCCTTCTATCCCTTCAGTGTGGTCTGGGTGGCTCAGAGAGGCTGTGGCCAGGTAGCCACAGGGCCTGGGGTGCCCCTGTTTCTCTGCTCTGTGGCCCTGCAGCCTGCAGAAGGTGTTAGAGAGGCAAATTGGGGATTGATGTTGGGAAGAACTTGTCAACCACTGTAGTACTGCTGGCTTTAGAGGTGGTGAGCTCCCTGTTGGGGCAGGTGGGTAAGCTGAAGATCAGAGACCAAACATTTGCGATTCTGTGATCCTAAATTTGCTATGACGCTTGGATTCGAAGTCAGTTTTGTTCAGTCTACCAAGCATCTCCCTGGTGCAGGAAACCAGGGGACACAAAATGCCCTGGATAATGTCAGCTTTCTGCTCCCAGGGGTCCCTGATATGTTGTCTGGCGGTTCTGGAGCATGACCCCAGGTGCTGCTTGCGTCTGGACCCACTGGCCTTGCCCAATCACTGTGAAGCTCATGACCACAGTTCAGAATGTCATGGCTCTGCCAGCCATGTCCCTTGCGGTGGCCCACCCCAGGGCATGAGGCTTTTCAGGTGATTCCTGGCACTCAGATACAGTCAGCTTCCTGGACCTGACAGTGGGGTGGGGCACGGTGGAGGCTGCAGTGAGATGCCAGTTGCAGGAAATGGTTTGCATGGCCTTTGCTGTGTCATGGGACATTGTTCTGCCCAGTGGCTTGAGCAGGTCCCTTCTCTCGGGCTATGGTTTCCTGTGCTGGGAGCTCTCTTCTTATCCCACTTTCCCAGATACAGAGGTGGGGCAGACCCAAGCCTGCTGGAACAGACAAGGTCTTGGAGGTCCCTGTGGGCCCATTTCTCAGACGGGAGGCTGGGCCAGGTGCTGAGCCTCCCACGGGACCGGCCCTTTGAGCCTCCTGTCTGGCCAAGGCCCCCGAGGCGCTATGGGCTGCTGGTGCCAGCACAGCAGGGCGATAAGGAGATGAAAGGCACTGGGACGGGGCTGGCATCCCCATGCTGGCTTGGCAGCTGCCCCTGGCTGAAGGCCAGCTTGGCCCTGGAAGGCTCCTCAAGGAGCAAGGACACAGAGAGCCCAGCTCAGCTGGCCCCCACCAGCACTCCCTTCCTCCCACGGCCCCTGCCCTCTGCTCCCTCCCTGGAACTGGCCAAGGAGCTAATGGGAACCCACTAGGGTCTTAATGAGTTAGCCAGGGTTAATGGGTTACCCGGCCCAGTGACACATTCACCAGTCTCCCAGGGCTCTCAAAGTCCAGACTGGCCTGGACTTCAAGGTCTAAACTCTGCTACCCTCTTTTCCGGCCTTGACACCTCAGGGCTCAGGAAGGGCCCAGGGAGGTCAAGAGGTCCCCCTTGAGCCCTCATTGTTCCTGGAGAAGGCTCCAGTTGCAGGCCTCAGGCTCAAGTGCTTCCTTGCCTGCTGGGTCCTCCCCAGTCCAATCCGAGCTCGGCGGGGTTCCCCAGGGCCCCATCCTGGTGTCAGCCCCTTCCGGGGCTCCTCCTCCTTGGGTTCCCCAGGGCCCCATCCTGGTGTCAGCCCCTTCCGCGGGGCTCCTCCTCCTTGGCTGACCATACTGTCTCCTACCCAGCCAGGCTGGGGCTCCTTGAGAGAAGAATCTGGAGGGGCCAGGATTGGATGGGCGAATGGATGAGTGAATGGATGAATGAGTTGAAGCCAGGGCCATGCTACTGGTGGCTATTCTGGCAGGCAGCAGACCACGTGTGGACCTAGGTCTGAGGGCTGAGAGGTTGGGATCTGCCAGCACCTGGGGGGCCCACCCCATCTCATCCCAGCCTCACTCAGCCCCACCCTCAGAGTTTAGGTCTCTCATTGAGGTTTTGAGACCCCACTGGGCTCAGGGAGACCCTCAGTTGTCCCAGGTCACACAGCCCCAGGGACAGGACCAGGAGCCAGCCCTCTTCTCACCTGGAACAGTTCCTGTGCCTTTAAAGCCTCCCCCCACCCCCGGCGGCATGGGGAGGGAGGGGAGGAGCTGGGTCGCAGCAGGGGATCGGGACTTAGTTGGGTTTGGGTGTGCAGTTGGACAACCAGCCCGGAAGTAAGGTGAGCCAAGGTGCATCTGGCTGTGCCCCAGCTCTGTGTGACCCAGCAGTACCACTCACCCTCTCTGAGCTGCTGGACATCACGTAGGTGGGGGAGCTCGGGCGTGGGGGCTCCTGGGAGGGCCTGGGTTCCATTCTCAGCTCTGCCATATGCCGGCTGCACTCTAGAGGCGCCCCTCTTCCTCTCGGGGCCTCAGTTTATGCGCCTGTGCAGTGGGAGTGAGGCTTGTGTGGACGGGCGCTGCAGAGGAATGGCACAGGTGGGCAGAGTCCCCGCTTCTCTGTCTGACCGGGGCCTGTGTTTCTGGCCTGATAAGTGGGCTTGAGACTCTGCCTGCCCAGGCTTTCTGGCCAGCTCTGCCACAGGGGTAAGGGGGGTGGAGCCACCTGAGAAGCCCTTGAAGAACCCACAGCTCCCAGGAAGTGGACTTGGAAGTAAGAGAGAGGAGTGCAGCGTGGAGAAACTGAGGCCCGGGAGGCTCTGGCAGCCCCGGGTGAGGGTGCAGGTGGGGGTGGGGATCTGCCCTGGAGTGGAGCTGCAGCTGTGATGGGGGCTGGGGGACATGTGTCCTTGGGCCATGCTCGCCCCTGTCTGGGCTCTGGTTGCCGCAGTGGATGGGGGTGGGGCAGGGTCAGTTGTGCAAGGGCTCATTGCCCAACTCCAGGGGGCGCCCGCCACCTCCTGGTCATCATACATAGCTCTTTTGACAGGTTTCCGGCAGGTGGAGCTTATGAAGTCTTAGCGAAGGGGCGTTTTTCTTTAAATCTCAACCCTGTGTCGCCACAGTGGGCAGTGTGGGAGACACTTTCCAACTCTGGACTGGGTGACAGTGAGCGTCCCGTACAGGGGTGGAGGCAGGCCTGGGGAGGTGGCTCTGTACTGGGGGCTGGTCCCACTTGTGGTCTGAATGCCTCCTGGGGCCAGCTGACCTTGGGCAAATCGATTTTGCCTAAGCTTTGGTTTCCTGTCTGTTAATGGGTTTGGGGCTGTGCCCCAGCTTCACCCTTGTGATTCTGGGGTTGCTGTGACACAGCCGTCGACCTGGGTTGGAGGATTAACAGGGGAACTCTGGGCTGGCTGCTCTGCCTAGATCTTCCTCATGCTCCCCTCCGCTGAGTCCTGGGAACCTGCCCTGCTCAGAGTCATGGTCTCTGGGTGAGTGAGGCTTGCATATTTCTGGGGACGGCGAGCTCACCACCTCATATGCCCACGACAAGAGCCTTGGGGTCTGGAGGAGACCTCTCGCCCAGACCCTGTAGTCTTTCCTCAGGTGATATGGTTTCCTATTCTTCCCTAGGTCCCCTCTCTGCATGCGAGGGGTGGAGGGCTGGACAGGACAGAATGTGACACACTTGGCATCTGAGGAAGAGCCTCCTTTGTTCTGTAGGTCATACCTCTGTTGAGATGGCCTTTGATAAGGTGCCTCCCCTCCTGTCTCCCCTCCCTGGACCCTGCAGCTGCTGCCAGGCTTCATTTGTGGCCCTATTCTCGAGGTCACCTGCTGGGGTCTGGGCCATCCTCTGCCCACTCAGACATTCTTTCTGCCCTCCTGCTGCTACTGATCCTGCCATGTCTTGTACCACCTCAGGCAGGGAGGAAACTGCTTAACAGGCTAGGGACAGAGCCCTGTGGCTCTCCACTGCAGACCCCTCCCAGCTGACTGCCCTGGAATGCAGCCACTCAGGCAGGGCCAAATTCCCTGACGTTCCTGTCTGATGTCCAGCCCTCAGGGGCAGGTCATGGGGCTTTGGTCCCTGGTTCCTGCCCTGTCCATCTTCCCCTCCACCATCAGGCCGTTGAGGATTTCATGGGAGAGTTTGGTGGGTTCTGTCCAGAGCCCACTCAAGGGCAGTGGGTGACAGAATAAGGCCCCTGTAGGCTGTGTGAGCCAGGCAGGCAGCGAAACCTGGCCAGATTCCACGTCCTTCCGTCAGCTGGGGCAGCCTTGCAGGAGGATCGTGGAGTGGGTGTTACCGGATCGGGACAGACCTCAGATGGAGGCCGCAGGAGCTCCTGGGCGCCCTAGGCACAGCTGGCCTGGGAGTAGGGGAGGGAGCCATGACTCAGGGAGTCTCTGACCCTTATCCTTGGCAGAGAGGGCCACAGGGGAGTGGGGAGCAATGTCCAAGGTCCCCTGGGGCAAGGCCCGCAGCTGTTCCTGGCTCAGGCTTCCTTGGTGGGCTTGTCAGGGACATGCAGCGACTTGGGGCTAAAACCAGGTGGCCAAGCTTGCACTGCTGGGCTGAGGGACCTTGGGCCAGCTCGGGCCCCCTCTGGGCCCTGCCTTTCTAGGCTGTTGAGGTTGTCCCTTGGGTCTGGGGTGCTAACATTCCTGGGTGGGTGGTGAAACCAGCCTGGACGCTGGGGCCCCGGGCCTGTTCCAGGGACTCGCTGTCGGTATCTGGCAGCAGCCTGTGGTGAGTCCCCTTAGGCCCGGGCTCTGTTCTGGTGTCAGGAACCATCTCTGGGACACTGTGTCTGGCTCTGAGTTCAGACACTCTGAATAGGGAAGGGCAAGCCAGAGGGGGCCCCAGCCTGGGACTCGCTGGAGGGGTGCACAGGCAGAGGGAACTGAGTCTGGGAGCGGGGAGCCCCTGCCCCAGGCTCACAGCACCTCCTGCCAGGGCCCTCCCAGGGCTGTGTGAATGTCAGTCACCTGGTGACAGGCCGAGTCACCGCACCTCCTCGCTGATGTGACATCAGCCTCCCCGTCCTCCTTGCCAGGTGGGGCCTCTGTGAGAGGACTGTCTGCCCCACACCCTACGCAGACGCCTTCAACTGCCCCTTGGGGACGCTGGGTGACCCCCGGCTGGCCTCTTGTCCCCTCTGCGACTAGGTAAGCTCCCGGGTCCTCCGGCCCCTTCTGCGCCTTTCCTGCCTCTGCTCCCCCTGGGAGGTGCCCACACCCACCCAGATCCCAGTCCCGATGCCGAGGCCCCCTGCGGAGCTCTGCAGGGCGCAGGCGTGGCTCCGGCGGCTCCTGGGAGTGGGGGGCCCGGCCAGCTCTGGCTGGGACTTTCCCAGGAGGACAAGTCTGCCTCTTCCTCCCAGGCGGGTGCAGCCCAGAGCTGTCTTCTGAGGAAGAGGAGCTCTCCTGGGCCCCTGCCGCCCCCGGGCTTCAGGTACGCCCACCAGCGTCACAGGAGGGAGTCTGGGTTTGAGGCCAAGTGCTGCGCCTGACCCACTCTCTGGCCTCGGTTTCCCCTCCTGCCATCGATGTGCGTGAGAGCGAGGCTTCTGGGTTTGGAAATTCTTTCCGTGAGTCTTTGAGAGAAGTTGGGGGTGGAGGGGTGGGAAATGAAAGCCTAGGCCCCCAGCAGGGTGTCTTCCGCCAGGCTGGGACATCTGCCTGTGGGAGGCTGGGCCAGCCCTCCCTGCTGCCCTGGAGGAGGGGCCGGGCCGGCATGGCCCACTCCGCTCCCCACGCTCCCTGGCGGTCTCAGCCTTGCTGGGTGCCCCCTGCTCCTTGGGGAGCCCACTTGGGTCTTTAGGTAGACAGATGGACAGGCAGATGGCTGGACAGGGGAGGCTGGAGCATAGACCTCAGGGGTCATGGCTGGCTCACCCCAGGGCCCCAAGGAGAGGCTCAGCTCACATGCCCAAGCCCTAGAGAGATGAGGCTGTGTCCCCAGGGTGCCCAGTGTGGCCCGGCACAGTGCATGGGACCGGGGAGCTTCCTTGGCAGGAGGGGCCGGGCCCCCACCCCTCCACATGTGATAGGAATGTTCTGTGTCTGTGTCTATGCCACCATCCGTGGCCCAGTTCCTGAGGCCCCTCAGCCCTCCCAGCACAGCTGTCTCTGTCAGGAACCCTTAACCATGACTGGGGCTCCCCTCCAGGGCCCAGGGTGTTGGAGTGCCCACAGGGCCCACGGCTGCTTTTCAGAGGACTGCGGGGAGGCGGTGTGGCGGGAGGGATGCAGGGAGGGGCGTGCAGTGGTCAGGCCAGAAACGGGTGGCGCCTGGATCCAGGCTGCTGTGGTCAGGGTGGTGAGGGGGCACTGTGGACACTGGACACGCCTGGGGGTGTGGGGTGGGGGTCCCTGCAAGACCACCGCCAGGCCCTCTGCTCCAGGGTTCTGCATCCATGACTGGGGGTGGAGGACTCTGTGCTTTCCCCTGCGCGATGAGGGGTCAAATGCTATCGCCGTTGTCCCCAGGCCTGCTAAGCCTGGGGTGGGGACAACCCTTCACACTGCTGTCTGGAATGCCCCCTGTGTGTGGGGAGGGCACAGGAGTCCACTGCTAGACCGTCTCTGGGACAGTCTCTGCCTCCGAGTTCAGATGCTCAGAACAGGGACGGGGACGGGTGAGCAAAGCAGAGGGGAGCCCAGCCCGGGCTCACTGGGGGATGCCGCCCTTTGGAGGGAACTGGGTCTGGAAGAGGGGAGCCCCTACCTCTGTCACCACATACCTCTTCCCTGTTGGGCTCACACCCGTCACTCGCTGCCGCTGCCACAGCCACAGGGACCTCAAGGGTCACTGGTGTCCCCTGTGCGGCCTGGAAAGATGTCCACAGGGGAAATACAGCGAGCAAGAGGCCTGTGCCACACAGGCCGCCAGGGGCGTTCCCTAGTGCAGCTGTGCTGATAACTGCAGTCAACACCGACAATCCGCACAGTGCAGCCCCTACTTCCCAACGCCCTCACAAGCAAGGTGCCATTGTCATTCTGGTGGGACAGTTTGGCGACTTGCCCTGGCCCCACAGCAGGTGGCTGCATCCCCTTGGCCCTCGTTGCCACCTGGCACGCTCAGCCCTGCAGCCTGGGCTTGTGCAGAAATGCCCTGTCCCCCTCGCTCTGCTCTGTGCAAAACCCTCTCCTGGCTGCGCCTGGGGAAAGTGCTGGGAGGATTTACGGAATCACGTGCGCCTCTGGTGGTGTCTTCGGCTCCAGAGTTCAACTGGAGTCAGAGAAACCAGCCAGAAACTGATGGGGGGGGGGTCACACGGAGCCCCCCGGAAAGGGCTGGACCGGGTGGCTTCAGGTACATCCCCTTGATTTGCAGGAGAGCGAGGAGGCTGCCTGGGTGCGGAGTCTCTGGAGAAGATTCTGCGGCCACAGGCACCTGCAGCGTGTGAGGGAGATCCCAGTCATTTCAGCCAAACCCTCCCATCTTTCACGGCTACCTCCCCAGGCAAGGCTTGGGGCTCCCATCTGCTGCCACACGGTGAGTCCCAGCCCCATCCAGCAGGTCTGATTTCAGGAGAGAACATCAGGTATCCCCTTTGAGGGCACCTTGGAAGCTGAACCCCATGCTCTGGGGGGCCACTCAGGGGATACCTGGACAGTGCCAGGCTCTGGGCTGAGGTGGGGGACACAGGAGGGATCAGGCCTGTCCACCCTGGAGCTCCCTGCTAAGCAGTGGAGGCCCGGCCGCTGGAAGGGGCTCGAGAGGTCTGAGGGCTCCCGGGATGGGCCCTGAAGACAAGCAGGGAGGGCTTGGGAGGGCAGGGATGGGGCCCGGAGCTCCCAGCAGAGGGCCTGGCCCGGGCAAAGGTCTGGGGGCCGGACAGCCCGCATGTGTCCTGGGAGGCTGGAAGGAGGCACAGGCCCATGTTCCCGAGGCTTGACTTTAGACTGTGCCCTGGCGGGGAGGGGCCTGGCCCAGTCCCCGCCCACCCCCGTGGCAGAGCCATGAAGAAGCGGTTCGTGGTGCTGGGCCTGCTGGCCGTGGTCCTGGTGCTGGTCATCGTCGGCCTCTGCCTCTGGCTGCCCTCGACCTCCAGAGAAGCCGACCGCCATGTGTACCCCAGGGCAGCCGTGGCCACAGATGCCAAGCGCTGCTCGGAGATTGGGAGGTGAATGGGGTTGCCCCACCCGGCAGGGCGTGGGGTGGCGTGGGAACATGGCCCTGGAGGACAACCATGTACGTGAACCCTCGCCCCTTTGAGACTCAGTTTCTCCACCTGTAAATGGGCTGCCTGAACAAGTAGTGTCTGATGAGCATGGAGCTATCTTTTCCTTGGACCCTCACTGTAGCCTCTGGTCAGGGGAGAAGGGGACAGTGACCCTGAGAACAGGGTGTGGGCCTCCCAGAGCCCAGCAGGGCCCCTTTTCTCCGTTCTAAGAATCTCTGTTTCTCTGGACGAACGCCACTGTTTGATTCTATTTTAGACTCCTATTGCTCATTGTGTATAAAAATCACTTCCCACCTAAAGAGTTAAACAGAAAAAAAAAGTCATTAATAAAATGTACCAATTTCCCATTTTTTTTCAAAAGTCATATACATTTGTTGCTTAAAAAAGAGGAAACTGTAAGTCTTTAAAACAAAAACTTACTGGGCATGGTGGCTCTCACCTGTAATCCCAGCATTTTGGGAGGTGGCGGTGGGAGGATTGCTTGAGGCCAGGAGTTCAAGACCAGCCTGGGCAACATAGACCCCATTTCTGCAAAAACACATAAATAAATAAATAAATAAATAAGAAACAAAAACTTGCATGGACTCCTCTTCCATCCTCCCTGGGGCAGGGCGGCCCGACAGAGGGGGTGGGTGGGTGGCAGGGTGCGTGGGGTGGGCACAGCAGCCTGCAGGTTCTCACCCCAAGACGTTCCATGCAGGGACATGCTGCAGGTCGGCGGCTCGGCGGTGGACGCGGCCATCGCGGCCCTGCTGTGCGTGGGGCTCATGAACGCCCACAGCATGGGCATCGGGGGTGGCCTGTTCCTCACCATCTATGACAGCGCCACACGTGAGTGCCCAGGGAAGGGCGCGGGAGGCTGCGGGCTGGGGCAGCCCAGCAGGTGGCCCCTGGGCTCGAGTGTGGGGTGAGGGTTGGCGTGGGTCCTCCTGCCTACCTGCTTCTCCTTCTAGGAAAAGCTGAGGTCATCAATGCCCGAGAGGTGGCCCCTGGGCTGGCCTCCGCCAGCATGTTCAACAGCTCGGAGCAGTCTCAGGAGGGTGAGTCGGGGTGTGGGTGCAGAGCGGTGCCGGCCGCTGGGAAGGGGCCCCGCCCTCACCATCACACCCCTGTCTGGAGCCCAGGAGCAGCTCCAGCACCCTCCATCCCTCCCGGCCCCCAACCCCTTTCCCTAATGTGAGGTCAACACCATCCCTGGAGGGAAAAGGGACAGAAGTGTCTGTTATTTCGACTCAGGCCCTGCGGGGCCACCCTGTGGCAGCACAGGACAGGACACTTATTGTGATACCAGCTGTCACATGCCAGGGCTCGCTGGGGCTGGCACCCTGTTTGGTGCTTTTCACCAACAAGACCCCATATTCCCCCTGTGCCCTTGGCGGTGGGGGATGCTGTGTTGACTCCCATTTTACAGGTGGGGGTACTGAAGCCCAGAGAGGTCTTGCAAGTGGGCTGAGGTTACACAGCTGGGAGGTGGTGAAGCTAAAATTGAACCCAGGCTTTCTAAACCCTGTGTTTTCAACAGGCATCCCATTTGTTCATTCATTCATCCATCTGTGGGGATAGCTCTCTAGAGAATGGGGCACAGTCTGTCTTTTCTTACCTGGCCTTACGTGGAGAGGAGGGCCTGGAAGTCCCCAGATAGCTGAGGGGAAGCGAATGTCCTCCCAGGGTGCCACTCAAAGGAGGCGAGACGGACCGCGGCATGAAGACTGGAGGGACGGAGGGGCCAGGCACACCCATAGCACGTCCCACACCTCAGGCAGGCATCCTGGGCGGTGCCCTGTCAGTGGTCCCTTTGGGGTCCTCCCCAACATATAGAATCTTTGATTTTTTTATACTCACTGAGATACTCAGAACGTGTAGAGTTTAAATTGCTCAGAGAATGAGTATGTGGGAATTTTACAGACTTAGCATCTTGTGGATGCTTGGAGTTCATTTATTTAACTGGGACTTATTGAGCGCACCTTAAAGTGCCAGGTGCCGTTCTGGAAATCAGAGCACAAAACAAAGACAGCGGGTGGCGTCTGTGGCGTGGTCAAGGTGACGCTGCAGGTGGAGGAGAGAGAGGCGATCAGGCACTGGGGAGAAAGCGGAGCTGGAGGGCGCAAGGGCGGGGGCTCCACAGAGGGGGACCTGGGCAGGGAAGGGGACGTCTGAGCAGAGACCCAGAGGGGCAGGGTGAGGGGAGCTGTGCAGGCGTCTAGCGGGTGAGCGAGTGATCCAGGCAGGACGGGCGGGGACAGCCCTTCGGGGAGCCAGGGAGGCTGCAGCACGTGACCCAGGAGGAGGAGGATGGGGGGGAGGGGGGTCAGAGGGAACGGCCCAGGTCGTGTGGCCCTCGCAGGTCACGTGAAGCCCCTGCCTCTCGTCTGGGTGAGGTGAGGCCCTCGTAGTGTCTGAGTGGAGGGGTCTGTCCTGTGGCTAACAGGCCCCTTGGGGTGCGTAAGGGGCAGGAAGCAGGCGGCAGCTGCCAGGAGGTCCCTGCAATAATCCACGGAGAGGAGGGGGTGGGAAGGGGCGGGTGCTGGACACATCTGGATGGTGGCGCCTGCACATGTGCAGACGGGTCGGGTGTGCAGCTCGTGTGGGGAGTCGCGGGTGGCCCCAGGGTCTTTGGTCTGCGCCTGAAGGATGGGGTGGCCCTAAGAGAGACGGGCAGGGCTGGTGGGGAGCTGGTTAGAGCAGACACTCGGGAGCTCGGGAGATCACCAAGAGAGTGTGGCAGGCAGAGGAGAGGGGGGAAGGCAGGAGCCGGGCGGTGAGGCAGGGGTCCAGGAAGGAGAGAGGGGAGGCTGAGAGGGGCGCTGGCAGTGTGGGGGTCGCTGGTGCGTCTGAGCAGGGTAGTGTGAGAGCCTGACTAGCCCGAGGTCAGGAGAGGATTTTTTAAGGTGGGAGGAACCGTGTGCCAGGTGTCAGACCTTCCGAAACCGCAGCTTCTAGGAATCAACAACCAGCTCTCAGAAACTGTACCGGCTTCGCAGTGGCAGAGATGGTTCTGGAGCTGCAGCTGCCAAGCCTGGGAGTAGCCAAGGTGGCACTTGTCATCTCAGGTTGGCAGCAGGAGGGTGCCTGGGGGCGGGGCCTTGGCTGTACCTTCCTGGGCCGAGGGTCAGTGTCCAGCTCAGGGTGTTGTGCCCAAGTGGGCAGCGGGGCTTGGAGGGGAGGCAGGCCCAGGGGCGTTTCCGATGGAATCTGGGGCGCCTCAAAATTCGGAAATGGAAGGCAAAGCTGTGTGTAGTCAGGTGGGGAAACTGAGGCTCAGAGAGGGAACAGGGCGGAGATTAAGGCTTGGGTCCTGCTTCTGGGACAGTAGGAGAGAGGAAGGGGGCCTTGAGGGCAGCTGATCTGGAGCTGGAGCTGGCAGGGCCTGGTCTTGCTGCGGTGGTTCAGGTGGCGCCCGCGAGTCTTACGGGATGAACGGCCGCGTGGCTGGGACAGAGCTGGGAGGGGTCCGGCTCCCCCAAGTCTCACTGAGCCGTGTGGCCTGGCACAGGACTTCAGACATGGAGGCGCCTGTGGAGACAGACACTAATCCCGGGACAGTAAAACCCTGCCCCTCCACACTCCCCCTGCCGAGCCCAGACAGGACCTGAACACTCCCTTTCCTCCTGAGCCTCTCTGGCCCTATCTGGGGAATGGGTCACGGAATGTGGCTGCGAGAGACCCTGACGTCCCCTTCCCGGGGTGCTAACCGTGGTGCTCTCTCCCCAGGCGGGCTGTCAGTGGCGGTTCCCGGGGAGATCCGCGGCTACGAGCTGGCGCACCGGCGGCACGGGCGGCTGCCCTGGGCTCGCCTCTTCCAGCCCAGCATCCAGCTGGCCCGCCAGGGCTTCCCCGTGGGCAAGGCCTTGGCCGCAGCCCTGGACAGCAGGCGGGCCGTCATCGAGAGGCAGCCTGCCCTGTGGTACGTTTGCGGTTGCGGCCACCCAGGGCCCCTGCAGGCCGGGAGCAGCTGGCAGAGCTGCGCCTTGCTTTCGGGGACCTGCGCTGATAGGGGTATGGGGTTCGAGGACATGTAGACCCTTCCCACTGCGTGTAGGGACACATCCTGAGTCTGGGGCTTGGGGCCCAAGGTAGACACCGTGGCCACCATGTGTCCTGAGTGGCAGGGGACACTTAGAAGGCACAGGCTGGACTGGCCAGAAAGGGCACCAGGAGGCCGAGCCCCGAGCGACAGGGACACTTACCTGTGGCCGGGCCCATTCATGCTTTGTTCTCAGTCCCCTGGTGTGGGTGGGTGTGGGAGCGTCTGGCTGCGTTTCACACGAGCCCCCCGCCGCAGCGAGGTGTTCTGCCGGGATGGCAAGGTGCTCCAGGAAGGGGAGACACTGATCCTGCCGCGGCTGGCCGACACGTACGAGACGCTGGCCCGCGAGGGTGCCCAGGCTTTCTACAATGGGAGTCTCACGGCACAGATTGTGAAGGACATCCAGGCGGCTGGTGAGCGGGTGACTTGGGCCTGGGTGAGGAACCCCGCAGAGGGAACCCTGAGCTGGGGCCCAGAGCCCTGGGGTCCTCCTGTCCTGCCCAGGCCCTCGGGGAGCTCCTGGCTGGGTTAAGGCTGAGAGAGGCCGTGCAGTCCAGGAGAGAAAGTCCCTATGGGTTAAATGCAGGGGCTGGGGCAGGGGAAGTGCTAGAGTGCAGACTGAGGATCCAGGAGGACTTCCTGGAGGAGGTAGTGGCTGAGCTGCTAACTTTGTTAGGTAGAAAGGGGAAGGGATTCTGAGCAGAAGGAATAGCTTGGGCTAAGGCCAGGGGAGGGGCAGTTTGATTCACCGGGAGAGTCACCAGGGATGAGGGTCGGCTTGGTAAGAGAGATGTAGGAGGGCCTTGCGGGGCAGTGGCCTGGGAGCTTGGCTGTGGCCTTCTTCATGTTGTTGTTGTCACTGTTTCATGGAGGAGGGAGATTAGTAGGTTGCCCTCTATTACTGAGGCTGGAACTTAGGCTGTCAGTACCCTGTCTGCCTGGAGCTGGTTCCCTGGAGATTACGAGCCTCCCGCGACCCAACCATTCATTCCCAGAGGACAGGGCTGAGCAGGGGGGAGATGGGGGCAGTAATTCTCCACTCAGAAAAGACCCTCTGGCCACAGAAGGGAGGAGGCAGACCAGGAGGCCGCCAGCCAAACAGGTTGAGGCAGGTGGCTGGCCTGGGCCTGGCTGTGGGTAGTAAGTGCCCTGAGGGAGGACAGAGGGGCCAGGACGGTGTGGGCCAGTGGGGAGGTGGGCAGGGCTCCCAGCCTGATGGCCCCGTGACCCCTCCCAAGGTGCACCCCATCCTCCCTGCTACGGTGCAGGCACATCCCACCACCACCCCGGTGCGGCCCCGTCCCCGTGTCCACCCGAGCTGCTGTCCCTTTGCAGGGGGCATTGTGACGGCCAAGGACCTGAACAACTACCGCGCTGAGCTGATTGAGCATCCGGTGAACATCAGCCTTGGGGACACAGTCCTCTACGTGCCCAGCGCGCCGCTCAGCGGGCCCGTGCTGGCTCTTATCCTCAACATCCTCAAAGGTGAGAGCCTGCGACACTGCCTCTCCCTCCCCACGCTCCACCGCTCTCAGCTCAGCCGGCCTGGGTCCTGCATCCTGCGTCCTCCCTTCACTGAGCTCCCAAGGTGTGCCCCTGCCCCACGGCTCTCTGTGCCCTGCAGGAGGCAGTGCAGAGTGACCAGGGTGTGGCGGGAACTGCCCAGGGGCTGGAGGAGGAAGAGTTGTCAGGAGAGAGAGGAGTGTGGGAGTTCCAGGCCAGGGGGCCTGGTCCAGAGGGCATCCCTGGTAAACCTAAGTGGTCATGTGTGACATCGTAGACCACCTGGCCCTCAGACTGAGGCATGTGGTCCAGGCCCGGGAGCCCCTGCCTTATTTCACCCTTAAACGGCCTTCTGAAGCGGCCACTGCTGTTGGTTATTAAATGATCCCCCTCTCGAGGTGGGCAAAGTGGCTCAGGGAGGTATCAGCCCTCTGAGCCCCTCCGAGCCCCTGAAGCCTGCCAACGTACACCTGGCTCTGACCAACCAGGGTACAACTTCTCCCGGGAGAGCGTGGAGACACCCAAGCAGAAGGGCCTGACCTACCACCGCATCGTGGAGGCCTTCCGGTTCGCCTACGCCAAGAGGACCCTGCTGGGGGACCCCAAGTTTGTCGATATGACTAAGGTAAGGGGAGGGGCTAGCCCACAATGGGCGCGGGGCCTGCTGTAGAGGCAGCAGGTGGGCTCCTGGGGCCACGGCAGCCTTGTGTCTGCTTTGTGAATCTATTCCCGCCACCGACTTTGGTTGCGGACCTACTGTGTGCTGGTGTGGACTGGCAACCCCAAGTCTTGGGCTCTGCCCCATGGAGCTCACAGTGTGGGGAGGGGCAGGGGAGACAGACTTGACAGTGGGCAATTAGTGCCCTCCTATTCTGGTCACACTCCTGTCACAGGGCCTTTGCACATGCTGTGCCTATGGCTGGGAAGGTTCTGGAATGGTCAATACTGAGGTCAAGAATGCACAGGGGTGTTGTGGCCCTCAGAGATGATGAGAAGGATGGGTGAGGGGGAGAGGCCAGGTGGGCAGAGGCCTTGGCCGCCTGCTCTCTGGTCACTTCAAGGAACTAACACTTCCCAGATCCCCACCCTCAGCCCCTCACTCACCCACCAGGTGCCCCAGCTCCCCGCTGGGCCTCCACGGGGACCCCTGTCTAGTCCCCTCCACCGAGGGGCCTCACATCCCTCCTTTCCCACTCGGATCCCTGGCATGGGGATGGACCTGCAGACCCCTCACGCTGCCCTGTGGTCTCGCAGGAGGGCCCTCAGCTGCCCAGCAGGCGTCTTCTCTTTCCTGGTGAGCATGGTGCACCCCACACCACCGCCAGTGACCTGGCGTCTCGTCTCTCGGAGGGGACAGAGCCACCGCATTGCACCCCCCCGACAACTCTGGGCTCCGGCCAGCCCATCCGTCCACCTGCTGGCTCAGGGCACCGCAGCTGCCATGCTCCTCTCTGCCTCTGATCAGTTTCCCTTTTTAGCGGATTGTTCCCACAACACAGGCAGCTGTTGTTGCTCCAGAACCTTCCACCTCTGCTCCCCTAGGGCAAACATGACTGGGCTCCATCCTCTCTCCCTTCAGGCTCCCCCCTTCCCCTCTTCCTCATGCCACCCCCACACCACCAGATACCCAGGTCGAGCCTCAGTTTCCCCTTCAGGCCCCTTCGGCAGCATCTCACACAGCCAACCACACTCTCCCTCTTTCCTCAACTTTGCATTCTGCAAATGTTCACACCTACAAAAATCCATTTCAAAAACCACTGGAGTCCCCAGTGTGGCCATCCTGCCAGATTTCCTGACTCTGTTTGCTGCCGCCCCCACCCCGCCCGTCGATATCCGTGTCTTTTCTGAGTGATTGGACAGTGGGGGCTGATGTCACACTTGGGGGCGTGTCTGCTACGAGGGAGGACCCAGCACCCCACAGCAGCCAGAAACCCCGCGTCACGTCGGGGCGACGTCACCTGTCACACGCCCGTGTGGGATCTCCCCAGGAGCCCCGCGTCCTCTGGGTCCAGGATCCGTCAGTCACGCTTGCAGTTGGCTGTGTGGGCTCTGTCGTCCCCTAGCCTGCGGCGGACCCCTTGGCTGTGTCGCTGAGTTTTACCACCCAGGGCAGCTGCCCTGGAGAACGTCCCACATCCTGGATCTGTCTGCTTGGGAGCAGACTCAGGCGGAAACGGCTTTTCCTTGGGTTGGTCGGTTCATCCATGGGGTGTCGCTGAACCCCCCTTGTGGCACATTCTTTGGCCTTCAGGGGCCCTTCCTTGCTGTCTCCTTCTTCATCTCCTCCTCTGCTCTGTCCTCAGTGCTACCGTGGGGACCTCCGCCAGGCTTGTGGCTTTCAGCAGCCTCCCGCTGCCATCACCTCCCCATTTACCTGCATCCCTATTCCCCTCATGGCCACCAGAGGGCCCCTGTGAAACACTCCCCCAGCATGCTCACTCCTGCTCCATGCCTGCATGTCACAGAGCAAGAGCCAAAGTCCTCGTGGGACTGCAGGACTGGGCCAACCTGCATCCTCAACCTCCTCTGCCCTCAACCCAGTCTCTGTCTGCCTGTCACTCACAGGCCTGCTCCGCCTGCCAGAGGGCCTTGACATAGACCATTCAGCTCTCATTCAGGATGTCACCACCTCCGAGAAGCCCTCCCTGACCACTCTGTCCCCACCCATCCTTCTCAATCCCCCTTATCTGGCTTGCTGTTTCAGCACGTCCCCTGCCTGAGTTTGTCTTTCCCACTGTGAGGGTAGGAGCCTACCTGCCTGGTCCCCACTGACCTTTCTGTGCTGGGCACATAATGCAAGCTCCACAGATGTTTGCATGAATGGATGAATGAGTGATTGAATGTGACAAGAGTCTAGAGGCTTGAGGGACAGACATTCAGAGTTGCTGGAAAGCAGCAGAGACAGGGGCTGCAGAGAGGGGTCAGGCTGCACACGTGAAGAGCTGGGCCTGACCCCAGGCCCTGGGAGCCACGGGAGGTTTAGGGGCAGGAGGGTTGTGGCCAGAGCCACGGTCGGGGGAGCTTTCTGAGACCTGCTTGCACAACCCTGTGCCCCCCTCCCCACCTCCCTCCACCTCCTCAGGCCAGCTCTGGGGTCTCGGCAGGTGGTTCTCAACATGACCTCTGAGTTCTTTGCGGCCCAGCTCCGGGCCCGGATCTCCGATGACACCACTCACCCGACCTCCTACTACGAGCCTGAGTTCTACACGCCCAACGATGGGGGCACCGCCCACCTGTCTGTCGTTGCGGAGGACGGCAGTGCTGTGTCTGCCACCAGCACCATCAACCTCTAGTAGGGGACGCCGGCCACCTGGGTGGGACAGGGCCGGGCCAGGTGGGCCTGGGCTGCCTGCATGTCCCATTAGGGGCTCCAACACCTCCCATGGTAGGAAACTGAGGCCCCTCCTCGGTAGCTTGCCCTGGGCCTCCTGAGGAGTGAGTCTGAGCTTCGGGAGGGCGGGCAGGGCGGGGCTGGCTGGGCTGGGCGCTGCTGTCTGACCTGGCGGGCTGCAGCTTTGGCTCCAAGGTGCGCTCCCCAGTCAGCGGGATCCTGTTCAACGATGAGATGGACGACTTCAGCTCTCCCAACATCACCAACCAGTTTGGGGTTCCTCCTTCACCTGCCAATTTCATCGAGCCAGGTGTGGAATAGGGGTCAAGGGGCAGGGGCGTTGTGGGGGGAGGGGGCTGGTGGCCTGGGCAGGCAGCCGACTGGCACCTGTGTCCCCTCCTGCCGGCCGCAGGGAAGCAGCCACTCTCGTCCATGTGCCCGACCATCATGGTGGGCCAGGATGGTCACGTCCAGATGGTGGTGGGAGCCTCCGGGGGCACGCATATCACCACAGCCACTGCACTGGTATGTTCCAGCCCCTGTCCTCCCCGCCCTCCCCGCCTCTGCCTCCCCGGGCCCTGCTGACCCGCACACCCGACCCCCCCAGGCCATCATCCACAGCCTGTGGTTTGGCTACGACGTGAAGCGGACCGTGGAGGAGCCCCGGCTGCACAACCAGCTTTTGCCCAACATCACGACGCTGGAGAGAGACATTGACCAGGTGGGCTGCGGGCTGGGGAAGCTGCGTCACGGTGTGGGGCCACAGAGCACCCCGGGCTGGAGCCCTGGATCTCCCGAGCCATCACAGAGTGGACAACAGTGGGTGTCCTGCTCGGGCGGATGATCCTCATGCCCATCACCGGGGCCACCAGGGCCGTGAGGCCCGAGCCATCTGCTCCAGCGAGACCCAATAAGCCAAGGTGCCCCCAGCTTGCTCTTCCTGGTCACTGGCCAGAAATGGCGCCTCTAGGCTGTGAGGCCCGTGACCACGCAGGCGTGGTCCAGACGGTGTCCGGGCCCTGCTGAGGCCTCTCCCTCCCCTCCCACTTCCAGGCAGTGGTTGCGGCCCTGGAGACCCGGCACCACCAAACCCAGTTCACCTCCACCTTCATCGCTGTGGTGCAGGCCATCGTCCGCACGGCCAGCGGCTGGGCAGCTGCCTCGGACTCCAGGAAAGGCGGGGAGCCTGCCGGCTACTGAGTGCTCACGGCAGACAAGCTGCCCAGCAGCCCGGGGACCAGATGCTCACCAGGCCGGGGGGCGCCCTGTGGGACATGCTCCCCTGCGAGTGGAGGAGCAGAGCAATAAATGGGGCCACCGTGCCGGCTCTGGGCAGCCTTTGTGGTCAGGGTCCCCGTCCTCTGGGCCTCGGTGTCCTGTGTGTGAAATGGAGCCGTCAGCTGGGGGAACAGAGAGGTGGGATCCGGAGGCCTTCACACCGCAGGCGCTGGAGCCGGCCACAGTGTTTTCAGGAGGGGGAGAGCTTGGCAGGTGGCAGGGGCCCAGAGGCTGCCCGTGCCAGGCACAGCCCCTGGCGCTGCTACCCCGTATGGGCCAGCAGGGGGCGCCGCAGTCCCGGCGGTCACTTAGGCGGCAGGTGGGTGGGCGGCAGATGCCTGGAACCAGGTGCCGCCTCCTCAGCCCCTTGGGTGTCCCAGCTCACCCTGCCTGGACAGACAGAGGCGCAGCTGAGGTCTGAGCCCTGGGGACTGGCAGGAGGGTCAGAGCCGGGCCCCAGGGGGCTTTCCAAGCACAAGCCCACAGTGAAACCTAAGCTTGGGACCAGCTCCAGATGGAGGCCTGGTTCTCAGGGAATGGTGAGCGGAGGAGGTCCCCAGATCCCCAGAGGGGCGGGTCTAGAGTCTAGAAGGGAACTGCTGGATATGCATCCTTCACCATGGCTGGCCCCTTGACCCTGCCTCGGGGTCTGCTAACTTGTCCTCCACACAGGGTAGCAACACGGGTGAGGGCTGGTGGAGATGGCATGGGGGCACAGCCAGATGTCACCCACGAGTGTGCACAGGGCCCTGAGGGCAGGGCTGGGGAGGAGCCAGGCAAGGCTAGGTCTGGACTGTCCTTCAGGAGGCCAGAAAACCTGGTGCTTCCAAAATGCCCACGGGGAAACAGAGCTTTGTGCCTGCAGGGTGCACCCTGGTCTGACCCCGAGCCCTGGGGGGCTGTCTCGGGTCCCCAGGGATGAGATGGAGGCCAAGCAGTTCGCAAGTCGCCTCTGCCTTATGTTGGCCTGAGAGGAAAGGCCACAGCCCCATTTGCAGGGGAGAAGACTGAGGCCAGAGGGACAGGCCTGGCTCCGAATTGCGCAGCAGCGAGGGATGTGGGGGATCCTCAGGCCTGAAACACTGGTGGGGTGCACCCCAGGTCCCCAAGCCCCGTGGAGCCCAGGACTACCTCAGGGCCTGGGGGACTTGAATTTTCCTCTTTTCTTCCCATTGTCCCCTCCCCTGCCACCTATTGGATAAGGACACTCGAGGCCCTTCCCCACTGAGCCTCCCTGGCTGTGCCTTGGACCAGGCCCAGTGTGACACCCATTCCTTTCCCTGAGCCTCTGCACCCTGACCTCTGCCTAGCCAGGATGGCTGGGGGGAGGAGGGGGGACGTCCCCAGCCCTGCTCTCCTGCTGTCCTGGCCTCTGGCCTCCAAGGACTGCAGTGGGTGGGTGGGCTGGCCAGGGCTCAGGAATGTACTGTGGTTCCTGGTTGAGCAATGTCACTGCGGGTGGGGGTTGGGTGGGGGCGGGAGGAGGCGCCCACAGTCCCCTGCTGTGAGGCAGCAGTGGGAACAGCTTACGGGAAGCCCTGCCCCCGCCACTCCAGCCCGGAATGACCAGGGGCTCAGGCTGGACGTGGGGGCCGGGCAGGCTGTGTGGCCCGTGAGCGTGAAGACACAGTCCCTCTCTGGACCTTGGTTTCTCTGCTGTACTGGGAGGTGGGCAGACACTTGGGGCAGGTGACGCTCACCTGGGAAGGCGGGGAGGATGTGTAGGGGCCGTGCAGGCCTAGAGGAGTCCTGCCCTCAGCCCCTGCCCCCCGTGACCCTGCCTAGCCTGGTCCTCCCCACCAGGAACTCCTCAGTGGGTCGTTACACCCCCAGCTCCTGAGGCTGGGGAGAACAGGGCTCAGGCTGCCCTGTCCCCAGGGCAGCTATCCCTGCTGCTATCCCCAGGGGAGGAGGCACTGCCAGCCCGGGAACAGCGGGGTGGACACAGGCAAGCGCCATAGCTGGGAGGGGCAGAGCTGCAGTAGGGTGGGGGCCCAGGCAGGGCAGCCCCTCTCCCTGGAGGCTCATGGCTGCATCTCTAGGACGGCAGGTCCCAGGGGTAGACGGTGCAGTGGGCGCTAGGTGCCCAGGGCTGGATGCACGGCCTGTCTGCATTCCCCACGTGGCGTCTTGTAGTCATGGGTGTTCGGTGCTCCAGAGTCTGCCTGTCTGAAGCTGAGGCCGCCTCCTGGTCACCCCGAGCCCCTCCTAGACCAGGCTGCAGCTGAGCAGGGACGTGAACCTGAGTGACACCACCTTGGGTCCAGGTTCCCTCTGTCTCTTCAGCCCCACCTGGATGCGGAGGCCGAGCTGCCGCCTGGGCAGACTTGCCTGACCCAGGGGAGGGGGCCAGGTGGCCCGAGCCCTCTTTCCTGGGTGCAGCAGGCACCACGTCCTCAGGCGCGTTGGCACGGGTTAACAGTGGGCGCCGGCAGGAGGGGCCGTGGGACCGGCAGCAGTGAGGGAGTTAACTGCAGCAGCTGCCTTCTTTCGGCAAGAAAAACTTCCCCTGGATGCTGTGCTGCTGGCCTCCCGCCAAGGACCAAGCAGGAGCTGAAAACTGGAAGCTGAGGCGTGAGCGACTCTGCCTCCAGAGTGAACGCTGGGGAGCGCAGCAGCCGCCAGCCGCCTGCTGTCTGTCCGCGCGCCCGCCTGTCTGTCTGCTGCCCGCTGTTTAGACCTGTCTGTCTGTCTACCCATCTGTGAGCCCATCTCTGTCTGACCATCCTTCACTTAGTGTCCTCTCTGTCCATCTGCTTGTCTGTCTCTGACTCCACTTGTCATCTTTCCAGTCATCTGTGGGTCCACCTGCATCTTCTTGTCCATCCATCTGTCCATCTGTCTGGCCGTCTGTCTGCCCACCGGCCTCCCCTCTGCCCCTGGCCGTGGAGCCATGGCCTGGGGCCATAGGACCATGGTCAGCCTGGCCTTGGTGGGGCTGGGACTGGCGCTGGCTGTCATCGTGCTGGCTGTGCTCCTCTCTCACCACCAGGCCCGCTGTGGCCCCCCAGCCTTTGCCCATGCTGCGGTGGCTGCTGACTCCAAGGTCTGCTCGGACATTGGACGGTGAGTTAGAGGCGGGAGGGTGGCCCTTGGCAGGAGACTTTGTAACCAGTGGTGAAGGAGTGGAGGGGGCGCACGTGTGTGTGTGTGCACGTGTGTGCACGTACGCTGGCCCCTGAGGCAGGGGCCGTGTGAGTTTGGGCTCTGGCACTGGCCAGACCTGGGTGCAAGGAGGCAGCCCCAGGGCCCTTGCACAGAACAGGTGGTGGGTGTGCCCACGGGGTGGACAGGGGCAATGGCAGGGAGGGCACGGTGGTACATGAGTCCGTTCCCAGCTCCAGGGCTCAGGGGGCCCATTTGCACACACACACTGGGGTCGGTCTGGCCGGCCTGCCCCACGGCCACTGCTGGCCCTTCAGCGAGGCCGTGTCAGTTGTCCAAGGCTGGGGTCTTCTCACAGGGGGTGGGCGAGGGGGTTCAGGGGCCCCCTATGTGGGTACCAGCCTGCTGGGGCACACCCAGTGCTGCCAGGGCCAGTCTCTGCAACCCCACCGGCCCAGGACCACATCTCAGGTCTCTTAGACCTGGGAAACCTGGTGCCCTCCCTCCTGTCCTCCCTCCCTGCGTCAGGGCCTGGGCGAGAGACGGTTGTGAGGGTGTGGTGGAGCGGGGCCACAGCTGGCATTTCCTGACCCTCGTCCAGGAAGCCCAGCCCCAGGGAGGCTTCCGCTGCTGCAGGCGGGAAACGTGGCGGGACCCCCAGCCCCCTGCCTCCCACTGGGCCCACAGAAGCCCAAACGAGCATCCCTTCCCTGCCGGCTAACAGGTCTGCTTCCCAGAGGTGTGTCCTGCAGGCTGCTGTGAGGATCCAAGCGCTCTGTAAACTGGGGGGACAGCCTTAAAGCGACAGGGTGTGGCTGGGCCTGGGCCAAGGCACCCCCTGGGCAAAGTGTGTTCCGAGCCCCCTTCCCAGCCTCACCGCTCCGGCAGGCTTTCTTTTTCTGTTTTTTCATTCATTCACCTTTTTACTCCTTCCTCCATCCGTCTGTCCATCCATTGTCCATCTGTCCCTGCTCCAATTGCTTGTACCACCCCTGCCCCCTCCTGATCTGGGCTCTCCTCAGGGCTTTCTGTCCCCTCTCTCGGGGCAGAGAATGGCAGCTCAGGGACAAGTGGGGACTGGCTGCTGCTTGGTCTCCCCAGGGGGCTCCCAGGGAGTGAGGCCACCTGCCGCCCTGGCTGGGCGCCTGCCTGCCCAGGAGGACATGCAGAGATGTGGCACCCACTGAAACCTGCAGCTACAAAGACACAAATGGGGCTGGAGGATCCCTGGTGGGCACATGGCCCGGGGAGTGGGGGCTGCTGCCACAGACCTCCCAGCGGGGTCTGGGCCCACTGTGTCTCCCCGAGTCTCTGTGCGGGGTCCCCATGGCATGCCCTGCTGGGTACGTGAGTCTCAGGGGTTGGGGTCTCTGCTCTGAGCTGCTCCCTCATCAACCCTCCCTCAGTGAGGCAGGAGGATGTGGTTTGTCCCCGGTGTTTGGGGACATACAACTCCCTCCGCTTCCTGTTTTAAGAAGGCAGGAGTGGGATGGAGCCTGGGGCCGCCCCAGCTGCTGCTGTGGAACAGGGATCTTTCAACCCTGGGACTCTGCTCGGGCTGGCAGGGGCTTCAGGAAGGTGCTTGGTGCTGTGTCCTCCTGGCCAAGATCCCTCCCTGCGGGGACCCCAGGCCACAAGGATGCAAGGTCTGCTGGGGCCACTTGCAGCCAAGGTTCCTTCCTCCCACCCATCCCCCTCTCTCCCCACCGAACGCCCCCTCCCCAGCAGGCCCTCCCAGAGCCGGGCCCCTACTCTGTGAGCACCAGGTTCTGTCCTTGGGATCGGGCCTTCTGCCGCAGTCAGCCCCTGCGTGCAGGGTCCTAGGGTTTACGTGCATGAGGACCCAGCAACGTGCCCAGGAAACACACAATAGGAGTGTGGCAACGGTGAGGTCCATCGTCTCCCAGTGTAATGTCCCTATTTTGATCCTTGTCTGAACACATAAATGTGTGTTTGCAAAAAAGGAGATTTTCTAAAACTATCTGTCATTTCTTCCACATTCATTAGCTAGTGTCCTGTAAAGATCCCCCCCCAACCCTGACATTCTTGAGTATTACTAGTGACTTGTGAATTCTTCTTCTTATTATTATCTTTAATTTTAGGGACAGGGTCTCGCTGTCACCCAGGCTGGAGTGTAGTGGCACAATCGTAGCTCACTGCAGTCTTGAACTCCTGGGCTCAAGTGATCCTCCTGCCTTAGCCTCCCGAGTAGCTGGCACTATGGGCTCACACCACCACGCCTGACTGATTCTTAAATTTTTTTGTAGAGACAGGGGTCTTGCTATGTTGTCCAGGCTGGTCCCAAACTCCTGACCTCAAGTGATCCTCCTGCTTCTGCCTCCCAAAGTGCTGTGATTACAGGTGTGAGCCACTGCTCCCAGCCTATTATTTTAACTCAATGTTATAATCCATCACCATTATTCTTTTTGATGCTCAAATTGTCACAGACGTGATCAGTGGGAGCCCCTTTAAGCCAGCAACTATGTTCTTCTACATGTCTTCACTGGTGTTGGAGAACTTTCTTGTCTGTTAGCATGGGATGTTCAGGATCAACTCAAACATTCCCTTAACCAGATCAGAAATCGGGAATTGGTGAGAAGGTATTTTAGGAACTAAGATCTGGATTCTGGGAGTGCTTATTCCGACTGGGATGCCCTCACTTCCAGGTTGCTTCTGTTCACAGAGCCAGAAAAAGCATATTTATAAAGTAAAAAAAAAAACAACAAAAAAACTAACGTGAGTCCAGACTGATAGCTCCAGTTCAAATCCACCATGGCAGGGATCTTCCTGGCCTTCCCTCCCTTCATTCAGTCACCCTGGTCACCCCCGTGAAAGCCCGAGTCCGAGAATATTCACACATTGACTTTCTTGCTCCATCCCAAAATACTCGCGAAATGGTTGCAGGATTACTTCAGCCACAGCACCACGACAGGTAACAGATCTGCTAGGTAAAATTCAAGATGTCTTTGCAGGGTTTTGGTGTTGCTGTTCTTAGCGTATATACCAAGGAGATGTACAGTTAATTAAATTATTTTTCTCTATGGTCGTGCTATCAGTTCAACATATTATTAGCCTAACTCTTTAGGGTTTTCTTTTTTCGTCCTTTTTGTTTTAATTTCATTTTTGAATAAAATGTCAAAAGTATATAAAAAGGTACACTCAGAGGTCTTAGTCCCATTCGTATTACCTTTCCCATTTCCTATTTGCTCTTCTAGAGGGAACCACTGACATTTGTTTCTGATTTATTTTTCCTGTGTTTTCTTTTTTTCAAGAAGAAAAAAAATGGCTCATATCTGTAATCCCAGCACTTTGGGGGACCGAGGCAGAAGGATCGCTTGAAGTCAGGAGTTCAAGACAAGCCTGAGCAAGAGCCAGACCACATCTCTAGAAAAAATAGAAAAATTAGCCAGGCGTGGGGGCACGCACCTGTAGTCCCAGCTACTCGGGAGGCTGAGGCAGGAGGATCTCTTGAGTCCAGGAGTTTGAGGCTGCTGTGAGCTATGATTGTGCCACTGCACTCCAGCTTGGGTGACAAAACAAGACCCTGTATTTCTTGGAAAAAAAAAAAATAGAGTAGACTATTTTAGAGAGTACAACATGCATCCTTCATTTATCAAAGTCTAACATCAGTTAGTACTTTTATCCTCTTCCTAAATAAAACTTTGGAACTAACTAAATTTACCCTGTAATGACTTGTATGTTATTGTTTCTGTGTATTTTAAATGTGTGAGTGCATGTGTGCATATATGTGTCTGTGTGTATTTAGTGTCCCTTAGACGTATGTATGTTGCTAGTGCAGAGCTACGTAAAAGGAAAGAGAGTTGTATAACGAGGGCTTATGTATCTTTCATCCAACTCCAACGACAATCTTACAGCCACACTAATTTCACGTGTATTCTCTTCTGCTCCCCCTGCCCCATATTATTTCAATGTAAATCCCAGATATATAATTTACCCATAAGTATTTCAGTATGTTTCATTTATTTTTAAACCCCAGAAGATAGGATCATTTTCTATATTGCTATAATTTTATACCCATAACATTCATTTAGATTTACCCACACATTTACCTCTTCTGTTGCTCTTTATTTATAAAAATATCTTCATTCCACTTTCACCGTTGCAGGATATTGTTGGTGGGCGAAGGAGTCTAGGCTGGCAGATGTTTTCTTTCCTCATTCTGAAAACATCGTTCCCTCGTGTCCGGCTTTCCTTGTCTCTGCTGAGAAGCCAGCCCTCAGTCCGCTTTGGCCCCTTTGAAGGCAATCTGTGTTTTTTCCTTTTGAAAAGTTTTATCTTTGGCTTTGCGTAGTTTTACGTTGATGTGTTAAGGTGGCTCTTTAGAAAATTCTCGGTTTTATCTCTTCCGGCGTTGCTTCTTCTCCATCTCTCTCTTCTGTCCTCCTGGGACCCGGATTTCACGTGACTCACACTTTTCACAGTGTCCCCTGTGTCTCTCAATCTGTTTCCTGCATGTTCTGTCCTTTTTTCTTGTCTGTACTTCAATTTGGATATTTTGTACCAAACTACCTGCCCGTTCACTAATCTTTTTCATTTTTCGTGTTTGTGTCTAATCTGCTGTTAATCTGCTATTAGAATTGGGCTCCTAATTCCATTTTTTTAATAGTTGCCAGTTCTCTGATTAAATTCTTAATCTCACCTTTATATCATTGAATACAGTTAAAGTCTGGGGTCTGAAACTTTCACACTCCGGAGATCCTATGGCTCCTTTTAAAGTTGTCCCTGCTTTCTCTTGGGCTTTGTTCCTACTGTCTCATTTCCTTGTTGGCTTGGTGGTTTTAATTTTGTGCTGGAGGGCATGTATAAAAATTGTATAATATTCCAGGATGTGCACGTCGGGAGGGAAAAAAGAAAAAGAGAAAAGAAAAAAAATTGTATAATAATTTTTAGAAATAATTTTGAGGCTAGGATTTTGAAATTCTGGGATCTCTTTCACCAGTTTGAGTGACAGATGATTTGCAGCTGGGTCCCAGTGCTCATGAGGGCTGCTCTGTTTCTGGCTGTCACTCCTGGAGTGAGGACCCCACCCCTCAAGTATGGAGTGTTATAGCATTCCCCTCCCCCAGCCACCCAAGGATGTCAAAAGCACTGCTTTAGCCAGGCGTGGTGGCTCACACCTGTAGTCCCAGCTACTCAAGAGGTGGAGCGGGGAGGATCGCTGGAGGAGGAGTTGGAGACCAGCCTGGGCAACATAGCAAGACCCTATCTCTTTAAAAAAATGTTTAAAAGTGCACTGCTCTGCCTCTCAGCCCCCTCTTCCAGGATTGACAGTCACCTTGAGGGAAAAGCCGCTCTAAATACCAGCCCCGCCTCTCTCCAGCCCTGTAATTCACTGCCTCTGATGCCTTTGAACAAATATTTTCTATGCTCCTGGCTTTTTTAGTTCTCTGTGGGAAGTTTGGCCTGAATTATAGTCTCCCAATACTAGGGAGTCTGATTTACATTTAACATGTTATTTTGCTAAAATGTAAGAGAAAAAGGCAGCCACAGGGGCCAGGTAGGAGAGGCTGCTGGCTTGGGCCAGGATGGGGTGGTGGAGGTACAACCAGCCGGATTCGCCAGTGGGTTGGGATGTGGGGAGAGAAGGAAGTGACCAGCCAGGGATGACTTCAGGGTTTATGTGCCGGGTGAAAGGGTGAATGGGTGTGTCATTTTCTAAGAGTGAGGACAAGGAGAGGGGCCATTTGGGGGGCAAGGGTAGGAGGAAAATCGAAAGTGCACTTTAGGTCGTAGGAAGTGCTTCTCAGACACCCAGGGGAGGTATCTGTGCACAGCTGGGTGTGCGCGTCTGGAGTGCAGGGGAGGGGACTGGCCCGGAGATAAAACTTGGGATCGTGAGCACAGAGGCTGCATTGTATGCCATGAGTTTGGACGAGCTCACCCAGGACCCAGGACTGAGCCCTGCCAGCAGGAGGCCAGGGAGACAGCGCCTGGGGAAGGGGGTCCTAGAAGCCGCCTACAAAAAGGAAGGGCTTCCAGGACCGGAGTGGCTGGCAGAGCTGGAGCCCGCTGAGCCGGCAGGAGGGCAGCCAGTGAGTTGGGGAAGCGCAGGCACGCTCCATTTAGTAAGGAGACCTTTGTCTAGGGTGGGAATTGGAAGGGATTTTTCCCTCCAGTTTGTCGTTTGGCTTTGTTGATAGTGTCTTAATCTCATTAAAGATTAGTTCTTCTGCCTGGCTGGAGCAGTCTTGTTTCTTTCATGCCTCTGGCTTCGTGCTCTCTGTCCCATTCCGAGGTTCCGTGTGCCCACGTGTGAGCCCAGAGCAGGGACACAAGGCTCAGGGGCTGGGCAGCGCTGGAGTCCCAGACGGGCTGGCCCAGTCAGGCCATAGGTACCTGATGGGATCAGGGCAGGGGACCCAGGGCCACTCCCTCTTTGGGCCTTGGTGTCCCCTCTGTAAATGCCGGCTTCTCGAGGTGCTGGCGAGCATTCCTGGATGTGTGGGAGGAGGCCGCCCTCGGTGAGCTGTGCAGGGCTGTGCCCCAGGGACGGGGTCCTCAGGACACAGGCCGGTCTGACCTGCACCTCGGAGCTGAAGGGCTTCTCCCTTGCTGCCCGTGGGCAGATGGGAGGCTGAGGACAGAGAGCGTCGTGCCCTGGTGGCAGGGCAGGATCCTGGGGTCGCCTCCCAGAGGGCAGCCTTGAAGGGGTTGGGGCCAGCGTGTCTCTGGTGAGATGGCGAGTGGCGTCCTAGGGTGGGCTCCGGGACCAGTGGGAGGGACCGAGGGGTGGCCTAGGCCTGGATCTGCCTGTGGCAAACGAGTGGGTGCTGCTGGGAGCACCTAGGGAATAATGGCAGCAGAAGGACTTTGCAAACTGAGAAGTACCTTGAATATGGCAAAGGTCGGTGTAAATGGCATTGCATTTTGCAATCTGTAGAGTGCTGTGGACCTGCGAGCGGCTGGATTTGAAGGGGCAGCCTGGTGTGTTCTCTGCCCCAACCTGGGTTTGGTGGCAACAGATGGGCTGCCTGCCTGTCACCATTCCCCAGTGAGTGCCAGGTGGGGAGGCTGGGGGAGGGGAGCCCCGCCGCTGACTCTGAGTCACATCCCCTAGAGCCATCCTCCAGCGGCAGGGCTCACCTGTGGACGCCACCATAGCAGCTCTGGTCTGCACTGGCATCGTCAACCCTCAGAGCATGGGCCTTGGCGGAGGGGTCATCTTTACCATCTACAATGCAACAACAGGTAGGCCCCCATGTGACCCCCACAGGGACGATGAGCTTGTCCACACCACGGGGCAATCACTGCCCGAGCCCCTTCCTGGTGCTCCGGGGCGTCCCCACCTGCCCCCTTCAACTTGGTTGTGCAAAGCCTGGTGTCTGGTCCTGTCCCAACTATTAGCACAGGAGCCATCTCATGATGCAGAGAGGGAAACTGAGGCCTAGAGTAGGCTGGGGCTGTCTGAGGGGACCATGACCTCTTGATTGCCCTGCCCCGACCCCAGGGAAGGTGGACATCATCAACGCCCGGGAGACAGTGCCGTCCAGATCCCCACCTGGCCTGCTGGGCCAGTGCGCCACAGCCCAGCCACTGGGCACAGGTAAGGCCGAGGAGGGGATCCCGCTCTCAGCCCACCAGGCCACTGGGGCTGACCAGAACACCCCTCTGAAGGGGCAGTGTGCCTCCTGGACAGGCTGGGACACCCTGGCACTACGGGCTGGGAGCCCGTGGGCAGTCCCCACGCACTGGGGCTGGGAAGGTCCTCCTGGGGGAGCGGCCCTCTGGGAGGGGGATCCGGGGAGAGGGCCAGGCTGGGCAATGCCCCAAGGGCTCAGTGGACACGGTAGGTGGGACGAGGTGGGGCAGGGCTCCGAGCCAGTTTGCGCAGGGCTGGGGGGAGCCAGGGAGGTTGAACAGGGAGGGACGCGGTTGACGTGGGCTCCAAAAAGTTTATTCTGGCTGCCATGGCAGGGAGGCCACATGTGGGGCGACGGGGAACCCCTGGGCAGGACTGGCAGCCACAGGGCTCAGGACGGGGTGTGCTGTGCAGGGACCCAGTGGATTGGGGTGCCCGGGGAGCTCCGCGGCTACGCCGAGGCCCACCGCCGCCACGGCCGCCTGCCCTGGGCACAGCTGTTCCAGCCCACCATCGCACTGCTCCGAGGGGGCCACCGCGTGCCCCCCGTCCTCAGCCAGTTCCTGAACCACAGCTTCCTGCGGCCTGCCCTGCAAGTGTCCAGCCTGAGGTGAACCCTACACGGTGGCTCCCCTCGGCTCCTGGGCTCAAGGCCAGGTCCTGTCTGAGCCCAGCCTGCACCCAGCTCCGCCTCGGTCTCTCCTCGCACTGGGGGATTGACCCTCAGGCGTGCGGGGGGCCCTACGGCTGGGGTGGCCAGTGCTTCTCTGTTTCAGTTCACGACCTTTGGGCTCCACGTGGCAGAACCTAACTCCGAGGGGCTTAGGCCGGCGAGGGGCGGGGCGGGGCGGGGCGGGGACTTTATTGTCGGAGTGATAGGACTCCAGGGGTGTGGACTGGGGCTCTGCCACCCGAACTCGGGCCCTGGCCTCCCCCTCACTATGGCATGGCAGGAGGGTTTCTGCTGCCCTCTTGCCCACCCGACCGCCAGCCCACTGGCAGGTTCTTCCAGGGGTGTGGAGGGGACAGGCCCCGAGTGAACACCAACCCCACTGGGGAATGTGCCCTCCCTGGGCCAGGGCTGTGAGCGGGGTGGGTGGTGTTACCTCCACCCTCTCCTGGAGAATCTGTCCCCCTGCTGTTCACCCCAGCACCTCAGGACCCCAGGCCAGGGCTGTCCCCTCATAGGGACCTGAGGACCGCACAAGATCCCTGGCAGGAGTGTGGCTGCCCCTGGGACCTGGTCCCACACTGAGGCTGCGCGCACGCCCCCCCAGGCAGCTCTTCTTCAACGGGACAGAACCGCTGAGGCCTCAGGACCCACTCCCGTGGCCTGCGCTGGCCACCACCCTGGAGACGGTGGCCATGGAGGGTGCGGAGGCCTTCTACACAGGCAGGCTGGGCCGCATGCTGGTGGAGGACGCTGCCCAGGAAGGTCAGCCTCGCCCAGGTCCTGTGCCGGCAGCCCTGGGCAGGCCCCTCTCCAGCTTCTGCCTCTGGGACCCCTGTGATCAAGCACTCCGAGAAGCAGAGGCCCCCAGAGTTCGGACAGCAGAGGGGAGTCCCCCACAGCCAAGCGGGCCTGGGCATCCAGCTCCCGCTCCCACCCTCCCGTACTCTCCCCAGCCCGCCAGCCTCCGGCCTCTGTCCACCCCCAATGCCTGGCTCCAAGGGCCCAGCCCTGGGGCCACTGTGCGCAGACTCACCGTCACCCTCCGGGTCTATGAGGCTAGGGGACGAGGGGAACCCCATCGTGTGACCGAGGGCCAGCGGCTAACCTTCTCCACCTCGGTTTCCCCATCTGTACATGGAGTCCTCCCTGTCTCACCCCAGGGAGCATTCTGACCCTGCGGGACCTGGCCGAGTTCCAGCCTGAAGTGGTGGACGCGCTGCAGGTGCCCGTGGGGGACTACACGCTGTACTCGCCGCCGCCGCCTGCAGGGGGCGCCATTCTCGGCTTCGTCCTCAACGTGCTGAGAGGTAAGGCCGCCGGGCCCCCACCCAGAACCTGCCCCTCTGGGAGCCCCAACTCCAAGCCCAGGCACAGCCATAGGTGGCCCCTGCCTTTTCCAGCCCAGCTTCCTCCATGAGCTGGGCTGATGGGAGCACGATGCCGAAGGCGGGGCGGTGGGAACGCCCCCAGGGTGGCGTGTTTTAGAGCTGGCCTCTGCTTCAGTCCACACTCGGGGCTTTGCTGAAGGGTCTGACCTCATTCACCTAGAATCCTGCTCCCCAGCTAGGTGACCCAGTCCCAGGGCACAGGAGCAGGTGGGCTCTGCAGGGGGTCAGGGGTGTGTACCCAGGATTAGGCCCAGCCCAGCCTATGGCAGCCTGCAGGGGGGTCCTGGCAGTGCCCGGGCCTGGGACTGCCCAAGGCTAGCTTAGTATTAGTGTCGTGTGGGTGCTGTAACAAACAACCACAAACTTGGTGACTTAAAATAACAGAAAGAAATTTATTCTTGCCGGGCACAGTGGCTCACACCTGTAATCCTAGCACTCTGGGAGGCTAAGGCGGGGGAATCCCTTGAGGCCAGGAGTTCGAGACCAGCCTGAGCAAGAACAAGACCCCCGTCTCTACTAAAAATAAGAAAAATTAATCAGGCGTGATGGCCCATGCTTGTAGTCCCAGCTACTTGGGAGACTGAGGCAGGGGGATTGATTGAGCCCAGGAGTTTGAGGTTGCTGTGAGCTATGATGACACCACTGCACTCCAGCCTGGGTGACAGAGGGACACCCTGTTTCAAAAAAAAAAACAAACAAACAAAGAAATTTATTCTATCACAGTTCTGGAGGCCAGAAGTCCAATATCAAAGTGTTCACAGGGTCACATTCCCTCCAAGGGCTCTAAGGGAGAACCGGTTTTCTGTCTTGTCAACCTACATAACAAACAAATGAGGCTCTCTAAAAGAAAATGAAGTTTATTCAGGAACAGGCGTTGTAGTGGGAATATATATGCCATAGTAAATGGTGTGCGTGTATATTCAGGGAGGTAAAGGAAAATGAAGATTTTTGAAAGGAAAAAGTGAGGAGGGTTACATAATCATTTTGAGATAATTATTCTTTTTTTTTTTTTTTTTGAGACAGAGTCTCATCCTGTTGCCCGGGCTAGAGTGCTGTGGCGTCATCCTAGCTCACAGCAACCTCGAACTCCTGGGCTCAAGCGATCCTCCTGCCTCAGCCTCCCCAGTAGCTGAGACTACAGGCATGTGCTACCATGTCCGGCTAATTTTTTCTATATATTTTTAGTTGTCCAGCTAATTTCTTTCTATTTTTAGTAGAGATGGGGTCTTGCACTTGCTCAGGCTGGTCTTGAACTCCTGAGCTCAAATGATCCTCCCACCTTGGCCTCCCAGAGTGCTAGGATTACAGGCGTGAGCCTCCGTGCCCGGCCTGAGATAATTATTCTTGACTACGAAGCTGAATCGCAGTCTGAGGGTGGACGGGCAGTGTCTGGGCAGATGTCCTTGGAGAAGCATGCTTTGTGTAGGGTTGTGGTTTCTGCAGTCTCTCGTGAAGGCTTTGTGGGCAGGAATACGAATGTGAGAACCCTGCCTTCGCGCCTTCCCTGGCCCTATTTGTCAGGGTTTTTAAAAACAAAAGCGACTCCATTCTGATCCTGACCATTTTCACAGCCTCATCCAGCGGTGGGGGGCTGCCGGTGTTCCTTGCCTTGTGGGTGCATCACTGCAGTCTCTGCCTCTCTGTTCACACTGCCTCCTCCTCTCCTCTGCATGTCTGCCCTGTGAGGACACGGGTGGTCGCATTTAGGGCCCCCTCGAATAATCTATCCCTCTCAAATCCCTAACATACTTTGCCATTTAAGGTAATATTTGCTCTTGTGCCGTATAAAGTCATATTCTTAGGCTCTGAGCATTAGGCATCAGGATGTGGATGAATCTTTTCGGGGAGCCAACATTCAACCCCCGACACGGTGAGCCCCATCTGTGCCCTGCCTCCTCCCCAGGGTTCAACTTCTCGGCAGAGTCGGTGGCCAGCCCCGAGGGAAGCGTGAACATGTACCACCACCTCGTGGAGACGCTCAAGTTTGCCGAGGGGCAGAGGTGGCGGCTGTGGGACCCTCGCAGCCACCCAGAGGTCCAGGTGAGGTTGCCTGAGGCTGGTGGGCACCCTCTTTCCTGCTCCGGGACTTGGCAGGAAGGGAGGGTCAGGCCTGGCAGGGGGGCGGTTGGAGAGATTTGAACGTGGTTCTTGGCCAGGTCAGACAGGCGGTGGCCCAGGGCAGGGCCAGAAGGGACCCTGGGGTGGCAGGTATGGGGCAGGTGCAGCGGTGGCACCATTTCTCAAAGGGCCTAGAGACGGGTCTGGGCCTATCCTGGGCTTGAGGGAGGCCTCTCTGGCCACTAGGTAGAGGGCAGACTGGAGAGGGCCCCCCAAGGATCCCACTTGGCCCCTCACTGCCCCTGCCCGCTGCCTGCCCATCCCAGAACGCCTCCCGAGACCTGCTGGGAGAGGCTTTTGCACAGCACATCCGCCAGCAGATCGATGGCCGTGGGGACCACCAGCCCAGCCACTACCACCTGGCCGGGCCCTGGGGCCACAGGATGGGCACAGCCCACGTGTCTGTGCTGGCGGAGGACGGCAGTGCCGTGGCAGCCACCAGCACCATCAACACACCGTGCGTGGGGCCCGGGGCAGGCAGGCAGCCCCTCAGCTCTGCTCCCTGCACCCCCCGGCACCACCAGCATGGCCGACCACCCAGGGCTCCCCCGCTCACCCTGCAGGGCAGCACCTTGCTTTTGCCTCTTCCCGTCCTGCACCCTTGACATCTCTGGCTGAAAAGCTACTGCCGGGGTAGCCCCGAGCCAGGACTAACTTGGGCGTGGGCCTGACTCAGAAAGGCATCCTGGTGGGGGTGCAGATGGATCTTTGGGGACCCCTGCTGGGTGGTGCCAGGGAGAGAACAGTAGCTCCAGCATGGTGGAGGGCATGTGTGAGGTGAGGGGGTCCTGCAAGGGTGGCCCCAGCCCCGGCTCTGCCCACCTGGCTGCAGCTTTGGAGCGATGGTGTACTCACCGCAGACAGGCATCCTCCTCAACAACGAGCTCCTTGACTTATGCTGGAGACACCGCCCAGGCTCCAGCGTCACCCCCCAACCCGGTGAGAGTGGGGGCTCCCACCCAGGTTCCACAGGGGCCCTGCCGGGGACTGGAAGGAAGGTGGCCTGGCCAGGCACTGCATGCCAACCCCCGGATGGGCCACCCCACTTGCTGAGCCACTGTGCAGTCAGTGGTGAAAGGAGACAGGGTGGGTGTTGGCCCAGAAGTAAGGCTGCAGGTGGCATCTGTCTGGCCCCAGTTCCAGGTGAACGGCCCCCATCGTCCATGGTTCCCTCCATCTTGATCAATGAAGCCCAGGGGTCGAAGCTGGTGATTGGTGGGGCTGGCGGGGAGCTCATCATCTCTGCCGTGGCCCAGGTGAGCCTGGGGCTTCCTGGCTAGAGTGTCCCCTCTCTGGGCAACTCTCCTTGGGGTGGGGGTGTGAGGGCTGGTGTAGGGTAGTTGGTACCCCCACATTCCCTGGACCCCCAATCTCTCCCCCAGGCCATCATGAACAAACTGTGGCTTGGCTTTGACCTGAGAGCGGCCATTGCAGCCCCCATCCTGCACGTCGACAGCGAGGGCCATGTGTCGTACGAGCCAAACTTCAGCCAGGTGAGGCTGAAGTCCAAGCCATCGCTAGGTGGTGGTAGCCCCCACTAAGTCCGTGCTGTTCAAAGGCCCTTCGGAGGAACTCAGTTATGGAGTGTCTTAGGCCAGGCTCACTTCAGCTTTGGGGGCCACAGGAGTTGAAGCCCTCAATGGGGGAGCCAGTCAGTGGCTTCCAGGGCAGAAAGCAGGGCGTTGTCTACATTTCTCCTGCACTGAGGACCTCGGCACCTTGGTCCCTGGTCTGTTTGCACCATTTTTTGGAAGGTAGTCTTCCTGGCTGTGGCCTCTCAGGCTCTCCCTCACGGTGATTTGTTTCCTTGTGTGATTTTGCAACTTCCATTTGCGAGTTTATTCATAACAGAGGTTGTTTTTCCTGTGGGAGTCTGCAGAGTGATTTTATTCTGGGGCGTTGGGGGATGGGTTGGTGTTGGTTCTTACAAACATTTTTTGGTTTCCCCACAAAAGCCCACAGCGCAGGAGCTGAGTTCTCTTGGCTGACTCCCCTCCCTCCCCAGACAGGTGGTCAGCTTCCTCAGAGCTTCTCTGGCCTGGTGGGTGTCTTTGTTAGAATCTACTTAAAAGACTGACAGTTTTTGAAGGCTCCAAACTTTACACCCGAGGTCAGTTCAACTAGCTGGGGTTCAAGATCCTCAAAGCGCCTTTTCTGTTATGAGCGTCTCTCGGTCTCAAGGCCGCCTTCCATGGCCCTTGCAACTCTGAGGACCATAGATTGGGGACCTTTCGTCCAAAGGGGGCTTAGTTGCTGAGAACTTTAGCCTGTTAGACAAACTCTTGGAGTCTGAGGCCCTCTCTCCCTTTTCAGGGTCCTTCCAGTGGCAGGGTGTCCCTCTCGGTGTCCTCGGGTTCCAGGGATCTTGTATCTGGAGGTTCTCAGGATCCGGGCACATCCTCTTACCCCTTCCTCCTCAGCCCTCGTCTGAAGGCCCTTACTTGGCAAACATCAATTCTCAGGACCTGGTGCTCTGAGGACCTTACTCAGACTCTGAGAATTTGGGAGATGACAGTCTAGTGACCGAATCCCACGAACCCAATGTCCTCAGCTCCCTTGGGGAGTCAGAGTGTCAACTGTGCAGGTCTAGGGCTTTCCAGGGAGAAAACCCTAAACTCTGGGTTGGAGACCTTGAGTCTCCAAGGACCTTTGCAGCTAAGGCCCAGGGACTGGGGCAGGGAGGCTCTTTGATCCTCAGAGTCTTGGAGTTGGGCCACTAGACTCCAAGGAATGCAGTCTCTGAGGACCGAAAGGCCAGCTCTGGCCTCAGCAGTGAGGATCTTGGCCTTCAAGTCTAAGGACGTGTGATGAGTATGTCAGGCACAGAGAAACTTATATAGCCAAGAGGACAGGGCTCCGAAGACCTCACCCTGCAGCAGCTCGGGTAGTGTGGTATCACCTGATGACACAGAGGTCCTGGTCCCAGGGACTGCAATTGGTACCTAGGAGTCTCTGGAATCTTAGGCCCGGAGGGGCAAGGTTCTCAGCCCATTAGTCCAAAATGGTATGGAGAAACATGTGGCCCATGTGCCAGGGTTCTTGTCCCTATGGAGCAGTAGTGTGGGGACTATAACCCCGGGGCCAGGTACTTAGTGTCTTAGAAACCAACACTGCAGGGCTAAGGGCCCGCCTTGGTCTCTAAGCTTCTCAAAGTCCACAGATTCGGGGTCTGGGGCCTGAGCCTGTAGGCCCTGTGCCCTGCACAGCTCCCACTCTGGGATGACCGCTGCCTCCAGCCGGAGGTTGAACTTCCTTGGATTTGTGGGTGTTCAGAGTGAACGAGACCTGCAGCTTCCGGTCCTTCTCTAGCCGAAACCTCCAGTTTGGCCCTAAACTTGCTAGGTGTCAGGCCCTGAGGGGTTTGGTCACTGTGTTCCTGGGTGTCCGAGGTCCTGAGTCTTCTCATCTGTGTGTTGAGATCGTGGGTCTTGTGTGGTCCAGCAGAGCTCCTGTCATCGGGCCTGGATACCTGGCACCGGCTGTTCGTGCTCAGTGTCCTGGGGTCCTGGGTAGGGAGACCCCGGGCAGGGAGAGGGACCTTGAGTTGGGCAGTTGTGAATGTAGGGGTGACTCAGGGCTCTGAAGGCCCCAGCATCAGCCTTCTGGAAGGCTTTGCTTTCAAGGTCCCCAAAGTCGGAGGCCTCTCGGTCTAATTCTCCAGGAGCCACTCGGACTCACATTTGTGTGCTCAGGACCTGGCGTGCTCCATCAAGGACAGAAAGGAACTTGCATCTGGACACCCTTGTGGCCCTAGGGACGTCCTCCCTGCACGTTCTGGTGGGTTTTCCGTTTCCTGCCCAGGCCCCTCGCCTTCATGAACCTGCCTCTCTCTTCCCCAGGAGGTGCAGAGGGGGCTCAGAGGCCGTGGCCAGAGCCAGGCCCTGAGGCCCCACTTCCTGAACGTGGTGCAGGCCGTGTCCCGGGAGGGCGCCTGCGTCTACGCTGCATCGGACGTGAGGAAGCATGGGGAGGCCACGGGCTACTGAAGAGACTGCTCTGCCCAGATCTGGGACCTGGCCAGCAGTTAGCCCTGCACCCAGGCGGGATGTGGCCAGGGGACCAAGCACTCTGGTAGTATCTGTACCGCTGGCTGGGGTCCAGCTGGGACTGGAAGAGGTGGGGATCAGCCTCGAAGATGGACAACGATGGGGGCTGGGCCTCACACTCTACCCCCTCCCTGGGCCCCTTGTGGCCCTGTCCACCCACCCCTGTCCCTCCACAGGCCTCTGGCCGGGTCACTCGCCCACCCTCCCTACATGTAGATCCCCCAGTCCAAGATTAAAGAGGAAGCCACACCATGGCCTGATTCAGCAGTTCTGAGTGCGGCAGGGGACCCTCAGATAGTGCTCAGTGGGGCGCAGGTGCCAAGCTCCACAACGTACCACCACGGAGGCAGGGAAACCGAGGCCTGCAGATGGGCCAGGCCTCGCCCTGGCCACCTGTGGACAGAGGCAAGCACCCCTCACACTCTGTTCTGGCCATGGCACTGCCGAGGCTCAGCCGTGTGGCCAGCCCGGGGCCTGTGTGTTGGTGGGAAGGCAGGGGTGTGGCCTGGGACACCTGTCCCTGCCTCCTGGGGGGCCTTGGCTGAGGGCCATCTCTGGACCTTGTCACCTGTGCCAGGAAAAGGTTGGACGAAGCAAGACCCAAGAACCCTTTCTCCTGCCCCAACACCTCCTGTTCCCAAGACCAGGGTGTGTCACGCTGGGTGCTGTCAACAGTTGGGATGAAATGATTCTCTGTGGTGGGGGCTTGTCCGCACACATAGGGTGCTGAGCAGCATCCTAGCCTCTGCCTGCTGATGCCGTAGCACCCCCACCACACACACTCAGATGTGACAACCAAACTGTCTCAAGACACAGCCACCTCGCCCCTGGTTGGAACCACTGCTCTAGACCAAAAATGAGCCCCCAACTGCCATGAATGGCTTAGCCAGCCGCTGGGGGGTGGGCTTACCTCCCTGGGGGCTGAGGACCAGGGAGACTGCCTGGAGCCAGCCTGGGAAGGCCTGGCCTGTTACAGAGTGAGACAACTTTGTCCCTGTGTGTGTCAGGGAGAGGCAAGGGGACCCCTTTTGCTCCATAGGGGGTGCAACCCCGGCTCCACGGTGCCCAATTTGACTCACCTGTGGGGTGAGGGGGCACTCCCTGGGCTGTCACCCACCCACAGGAGGCCTGGTCACCACTTGTGAGCTGATGTGGATCCCCACCCTGGCTCTGGCCCAACTGTCTTGAGCAACAGAGCCACACAACCCACCAGCCACCCAAGCACCTCTGCAGCATCTGGGATCCATGGGTAGCTTGGACTCAACGTGCCAAACAGCAGTCAGCCTGAGGCAGCAGGAAGCTCTCCAGGGCCTGCCTCTCCTCTGCCCCTCCCCACCCCGTGTTGGTCACCGAGCCCTCCCTGCCCTCCATCCGCCCCAGCTCCATCTCCTTATCCCTCCGCAGCCTCTTTGCCGCAGGTGCCACCTCAGTCCACTCCCTACTCACGATGGCAGTAAGCCTAGGAAGTGCACGCCTGCTCCTGCCAGAGGCAGTGTGGAGGCCTTCTTGGCTCCTGAGGCCCTGCAGGAAGCCCACTTCTCTCCCTCCCTGCTCAGCCCAGCCCCTGCCCACCTCCCACTCGGGTCAACAGCAACACCAGCCAACGTGCATCCCCGGCCCCGCCAGAGACAGCTGGCTCTTACACATCTTGTGACACAGAGGAAACCAACACCAAAAGATCAATGTCTTCTGATAACATCGCGATCGGTATGGACCAGCTCCTACCAGCTAATGCAGGGCTCAGAGGAAAATGCATTGCTTTAAGTAGGTACATTAATAATAGGAATCAAAATATCAAAATAAAGCATCTAACTTAAGAAGATGGTAAAACAACAGTCAGAACCAATAAAGAACAATAAGGAAAGTAGGATGAAGTAGTCAGGAACAACTGAAGCAGAAATTAATAAATTTGAAATCAGCAAAACAGGTCTTTGAAACAAAATTTCATGGATAAGCTACTAGCTAGTGAATTGGTACGATTGAAGGAAGTGTGAAGATACAAAATAAGAACTGAGAATGCGGAAATAGCCACAGACATAGAGGAAGCTGAAAGTATTATAAAAGATTACTCACGTTTATTCAAAGAAATCTGAAAACATGGACAAAATCAATGACTTCCTAGGACAGTATAAATAGGGTTGCAATCGGGACTTATACTAAGAACATATTGTTGTTCATCTGAAGTTCAAGTTTAACTGGGAGTCCTGTATTTTTATTTCCTATCTCTGGCAAACTTAAACATAAGTGACAAATGAATTAAACAATAAGGGGCAAAGGTCTAAACACATCAAAGATCCCAAAAGAAAGTGAGAATATGACCAGAACACTAGCCTACCCTAAACACCCTTCTGGAAATTTCCATAGGTTAAGTGTGTCTTGCCATTAGGATCAGAAACATTTCCTGTCAATTAAGCTCCTATAGTGTAGGGCAGGGAGGAAAATTTCCACATCCACTTTGTGAGGCCATTGTAGCCCTGACCCCAAACCTGGCAAAGGAAACCACTAATTGTGTTTATGATACCATGTAAACTCCTAAATAAAATATTAGCATGGAGAATCCAGTAGTACATTAAGGAGATCTACTTATCCTGGGGGAGCCAACACCAGTCCTGCAAGGAAGGCCTTCTCTTAGTCTATCCATGAATGCTGCTCTTATCTCATCTTTCACCAGAGGAGAAAAAAATCACAGGGTTATCTCCAAAGAGACTGAGGCAGCATTTGAAAACATTTAACAACCATTCTTTTTTTTTTTTTTTTTTGAGATGGGATCCCTCTTTTTGGAGTGCAGTGGTGTGATCATGTCTCACTACAGCTCAAAATCCTGGGCTTAAGCAATCCTCCCACCTCAGCCTCCCAAAGTGCTGGGATCACAGGTGTGAGCCATCATGACTGGCTAACACCCACTCTTGATAAAAACAAATAGACAAAAGAACTACTGAATAAAATGGGAATGGATGGATACACCCTTAACATGACTACGTATTTCAGAGAAATTAATAACAACATCTGTTGGGTGTTGACCATAGACTGGGTGCTATTCTATTGCTTTATATGCATTAACTCAATTTCCACAATTCTCTGTAACGAAAGGGAGATGTGATCATCCCAGTTTTCCAGGTGAGGATACTAAAGTACTAAAGCTCCAAGAGTTACCCAAATAAGTGCCAGAGGCGGAAACGATAGACATATAGAGAAAATTAATCTTGACCCCTACCTCACACCATATATGAAAATTAATTTGGGATGACTCTGAAGTTGGGCCTAAATGGGAAAGCTAAAACAATTGCTCCAGCAACATTTATTATTAATATAAAGACCTCCATTTTCCTCATAGAATTGCATTGGTGCCTTAGCCCATTTTCTGTTGCTTATAACAGAATACCTGAAACTGGGTAATTTATAAGAAATAAAATTTATTTCTTACAGTTCTGGAGAATAGGAAGTCCAAGGTCAAGAGGGTGCATTTGGTGAGAGCCTTCTTTCTGGTGGGGAATCTGAAGCTTCCCTGGGCAGCAAAAGGTATCACATGGCGCGGGGCTGACGTGCTAACCACCTCTTCTTGTAAAGCTGCCAGTTCCCCTCCTGGGGAACCTATTAATCCATTAATTCATGAATAGATTAATCCATTCATGAGGGCAGAGCCCTCAAGTCCTAGTCACCTCTTAAAGACCCCATCTCTTGACACTGCCAGTTGGGGATTAAATTTCAACACAAGTTTTGGAGGGGACCTTCGAACCATTTTGTGTCTTTGCAGGAAAAAAAATCGAGTAAATCAACCCATCATATTTTCAAACAAATGATAAACATATAATAGTTAAAATAGCATATGAATATACCTAAGAAATCACTCAATCCTAGTAAAAGGTCCAGAAAGATGCCAAAAAAAAAAAAAAGAAAAGAAAAGAATTTTGTCTATACTAAAGGAGCACTTCAAAACACTAGGAAAAAGATGATTTGTAACAGTTGGTATTGGGACAAGTAGGTAGCCATTGTGGAAAATAGTAAAGTGAAATTCCCAGCCTTTTTCTTTACATCAAAATTCGTTCCAGTTCTTCCAAAGTATTAAGCATTAAAAAATGAAACCATATAAATATCACAAAAAAAATGAGAAAAATGTATTTATATTTTTAGAGTGGGGAAGGCCATTTTAGGTATGCCATAAATGCCAAAGCCATGGGGAAAAAAAAACTGACAATATGAACATATGGAAATAAAAACTTTGTATTTAAGTTTCATATTATTTTTATTTAAATTAAAAAATTTTTTGATGTGGAAAAATATCTTAAAAGACCCATGAAGGCCGGGCATGGTGGCTCATGCCTGTAATCCTAGCACCCTGGGAGGCCAAGATGGGAGGAACGCTTGAGGTCAGGATTTCGAGACCAGCCTGAGCAAGAGTGAGACCCCGTCTCTACTAAAAATAGAAAAAATTAGCAGGGCATGGTGGCGCATGCCTGTGGTCTGTGGTCCCAGCTACTAGAGAGGCTGAGGCAGGAGGATCACTTGAGCCCAGGAGTTGGAGGTTGCTGTGAGCTAGGCTGATGCCATGGCACTCTGGCCTGGGCAACAGAGGGAGACTCTGTCTCAAAAAAAAAAAAAAAATGAAAAACTTGGGGAAAAACAGTTTCAACACATAATATGATGTGGGGCTGGTTTCTTTAATAATTAAACATTTAAATATTTAAAATCAATGACTAAGTATCTACTAGAAATATGAGAAGGGATACGATTCATTGTCTGCAGAAAGAAAACTAACTACAAATGGCTATTTCAACACATAAGAAGTTGCTCAATCTCACTCATAAATAAACATTGCGAATTAAAACAACAATGAGACCCTGCAGAGACACAGTAAATAACTCCAGTCCCAGAAGGCTTCCTCTGTGGAATCTTTCCAGAAACTGATGGGAGGGAAAAATACCAGTCTTACACAAACTTGGACAGAACACAAAGGAGGAAACATTATTCAACTTCTTTTTAACAAGGCGAGTATAACTTTGAGAACAAAACCTGACAAAAACATTTCAAGAAGGAAACGTGGAGGGTTATTTTATTCACGACCAGAGATGCAAAACTCCTAAACAAAATATGAGCAAACCAAGGATGACAAAGAAAAAAAAAAAAAACAGAAAAAGAAAAAAAAAAATATGAGCAAACTGAACTCAGAGACAGAGAAAAAAGAGACTTCGTCACCACCAATCTGGGTCTGTCCCGGGATTGCGAGATTGGTCGACCGTCA